TCCCCATATTAACCCCCATAAGCTACAAGGGTCCCTATTAGGGGTCCCTCCTAAAGTCTGTAGACTTTCGGCAGTAGCATGTATTAGCTCTTAAGGTGCCCTACTTGACTTGGAGACGTAGGCACATGCAGTGATAAGAGCTGTGCTCCCATCGTTTCTTCTGGTTTGTACGTTGCCCCTGCGAAGCAGAAGGAATTTGATGACATCCAGTTGGCCAAATTGGCCTTGCTGGTGGCTTGAAAGAACACATGTGAAGGACAATGCACGTGAAAACTAGCAGATAAAAAGTGAAAGCGGACTACTTGCCAAGCCAGGTGCAGGCCATCATCAGAGGTGTTGAGTCATCGCTTGTCCGCGCCATATCTATGTTCGCCAGCGCCTCTGCCAGCGATTGAACTGCTTGTAGGTGTCCATTCTGCGCTGCTATCCTAAGTCTTCATCAGGTTTGGGTTTAGTCTTATCAAGGCTTCCAAGCTCAGAATCCTAATCTTGTACCTCAACATGGCTCTCTAAATAGATTCTCCCCATGTGGCCCACCCTTCCCTAAGGAGTTCTTCTTGACAGGAGCATTGAAGAGTCCCGGAGTTCAAGACTACGACCCTGGGGGTCACAGGTAAAGAATTAACTGTCGGTTCGTCCCTGGAGCCTGCAGATTGCCATGTTCTGAGGGGGAGTGGGTTCAAAGGGGGTTTAGCCCGAAACCCTGAACCCTAAACCCTAAACCCTGAACCCTGAACCCTAAACCCTAGACCCTAGACCCTAAACCCCAAACCTTGAACCCTAAACGCCAAACCACCCCAAGAGGGACCCTACTTGGAGGGTCAGGGGGACTTAGTAAGTAGGTTAATGATGGGGATACTTAGGGCTACTCTATGGGTGATAGGGGTTATTGACCTACTTATTAGGTCCCCCTGTTCCCAAGTAAGGGAGCTCCAGGGCTTCTTGAGGAATACTTGGAGCATCTCTTGACTTAGGAAATCTACTTTTCAGGGGTCATGCGGCCTTTCTTAGGATTCGCAGGGATAGTAGGTAGGTTTAGGGTTTAGACTTCAGAGTTTAGGCGGATAGTGGGTACGTTTACGAACTTAAAGGATCCCCAAATACTTGGGAGTAGACGGTACACTCTGCTCCCTACTGTTGATGGAGGAACACCACCTTAGTCCCTAAGACCCTAGGAATTACAATAGTTTAGGGCCCCTAGGTGGTGCAAGATTTCATCCATCAACAGTAAGAACCTCCCCGGCAAATAGAGCTGTACATTCCACAAGTCTGTCGTTTCAATGCTATGCACAGCCGGAAGAAAAGAAAAAATAGGTCCCCTAAACCCTAAACCCTAGAACCCTAAAACCTAAACCTGTAGGGCCAAGGAATTTCATCCTCAGAATGACAAAGGAAAATTCTTAATGTAGACCCATGATTAATAAACCCCCTCCTTTTCAGGGCCTAAATATTAGGATCCCTATTATAATCCCTATTAAGGGGAAGGGGTTTATTAATCAGGGGGGGCCTGGGTTACCGGCAATAACGCCGATGTAAGGAAAACCATCTGCCACAAGCGCTCAAATCTCTACTATGGACCTAGAGATGACGGCCTTGTAAAGAGTACGGGGAACTGTCTGGGTTGGCCCCTAAAGCCCGTTGAAAAATAGTAGTATATGGGGTCCCTTATTAAAGCCATTAGGGAAAATATTAAATATTTCAGGGGCCTACCCAGCTGTGGGAAAATTTTCTGATCAGAATCTGACAGTTCTTGCTTAGAGCTTCGAGACTCTGAACAACAAAGCAAAACCCAGAGGGTCCAAGTACCCAATAATTAGGTACCTTGGGATTTGGGTAATAGTAATTCTACTACAGGTTTTGGGTAAGTATATGATTATTAAGTACTTGGACCCTTAGGGAAATGTTGGATGGGGCATCGGGTGTCAGCAGAGGACTTGCCCCATCACTTGCCATGGTTTGTAGTACGTCCGCTCTTTTGTGCAGCAGCATCTCCAGGATGTCCTGATGGCCAGACTCAGCTGAGATGAACAAAGCTGTTGCGCCGTTCTCCTCCAGGGTTTAGGGTTTACCTGAACCCCAAAAGTATGTAGAATCATGGCCTTTTGGGCTATATTCAGGGATTTTGTGCTATTATCTTACCTACTTTTGGGGCCCTAACCCCTAAACCCTAAACCCTAAATCAAAGGGTGGCTCAACGGTTGCACTGGAAGCTGGGTCGAAGAATCTCCTCGGTACACTTCTTTGTTAACGGACATGTTAGGGTTTAGGGTTTAGGGTTCCCTTCACCCCGACTACCCAGACCCCCTAAAGGATTCAAAAAAGAGAACCCCCGCAATATGAACCCCATTACTCCATTGGGGAAACTAGGGGGTTTATTAGGGGGCTTCATTTTTTGGATCCTTTAGGGGGTCCGGCTTCCCAGCCTTAGCCTGGTTCACGTCTGCCCCAAGTTCTAGAAGGAACTCTACCTGGGTTGGCCCCTAAAACCCTTTGAAAAATATTAGTATATAGGGTCCCTTATTAAAGCCATTAGGGAAAATAGTAAAATATCCCAGGGGCCTACCCAGCTACAGCATCAAAAAATCCTTGCTCGCAGGCCAGCAGGAGGGGTGTCAGGCTATCCGCCCTCGCACTGCTTAAGTCAGCAGAGACTTCAACCAACTCGCGCAAAACAGCCAGCTGGCCAAATTGCACGGCCATGATCACGGGTGTTGACCCATCACTTGTCCTTTGCATATCTTTATCTGCGCCAGCCTCCAAAAGCAGGTTGACTACCTGTGTATGCCCGTTCTGGGCGGCTATCAGTAAAGGCGTGGCGCCATCTGATGACATGGGGGCACTGGGCTCCGCTCGAGCTTCCAAGAGGAACTGAACCTCAGCCCCCATTACCCCAAGGGATGGGTCAGCTGTAGACGATAAATCATACCCTCACACGTACTGGACAATCTCTCCTTGGAGGTGGAAGGGAAGTTATAAGAGGAGTTATCAGGGATAGCCATACTTATCTATCTGGGGAACTTATAGCCCTACTTATAGCTACCCAAACCCTAAACCCCAAACGGGATGCCCTAAGGCGGACCTGGCAACAGTGTCCACATGGCCACCTTCACATGCAACAAAAAGCGGAGTGGCACCATTCCTGGGCATTAGCTTTGAGGCTCCCATGAAGTTAGGGTTTAGGGTTGAGGGTTTAAGGTATTCATGTAGATATACGTATATACTACCAGCAGTATGGTTTCCTTAAGGGTGTTCTAGGAGACATGTGAGGTTTAGGGGTAGGGGTACCGGGTAATTATCCTGAATAGCTGCCTATATCATGTTGATGCAAGCCGCTAAGTGCCTGAATCACCTAGGGGTCAGGGTGAGGTGCGCCACCAGCTCCACAAGGCATAGTGATTGTTGGATTCGCCCCCCCCGCCACCCCCGGTTTTCCCTTCTTCCACTGTTAGTGGCCGGCAGGGACCCCATTTTGGAGATACAGCAACTGCTACGGCTCCTGTAGTGTAGTAGCTTAATATGAATCTCTCTCAAACAAGGGCTCCTTGGATCTATACAAGAAGATGATTCTGGGGTCCTATACAGGATCCTATAGAAGCAGCTCTGAAAACTTAAAATGTAGATACAGAGTAAATAATATGGTTGTGCGTCTTCAACTCAATTCGGAGCGGTGCCATTGAAAATTCTGGAAACCAAAGTGACGACACCAAGATATTATTCTACACCCTAAACCTCGTATGAAGAGGGATTTCGTAACCCCAACGCCCCTCAAGTAGTGTCTAAGCAGGCTTCCTGCACACACACACACCCCTGAAGTCTCCATTTTCAATTCTTTTTAGTGCAGAACTCAGGCTTTCAATAAAATTGTAATAAAGTATGACTCTCAACCAAACCCTAAACCCTAAATAGCAATGAAGACCCTGAACTACCTGCCAGCATAGGAGTGACATGGTAGCTTCCTCATAGGGGGGACCCCAATACCTTGATCCCTAAACCCTCAACTTTCTAAGCAACTCAGATTCGACTTCCCGTTCTCCAAGTCAGCGCGTGCGTCAAGAAGAAAGCGAGCTGTTGCCAACTGCCCATGCTCACCTCACTAGCGTTTCTCGAAACTAAAGGTTTGGGTTGAGGGGCGTAGGGATTGATTTGGGGGTCTCGGGTTTGGGATTCAGGGCTCGTAGTGCTTGAGTGAACATAGGTGTGGGTATTCTTATTCCCTACATGGGGGGTTTCCCACAAAAGTAGGGGACCTTTGGAGGCTCGCTACAATAAGGCTTATCATATTTTGGGGTGTATATTGGGATCCCTGTTGTGGCAAGCTCCCTAAATAGACCTCGATACCAGCACCGATATGCAACAACTGCCGACGGGTCGCATGCGGTGAAAAATGCAACCGCGCCATCACTCCTCGCCAGCGAGAAGTTCGCACCCACACTTTTCAAGAGCTGCGCCTGAATTTTTCTGGTCTTAGGAGCTCTTAAGGCGGGTGATTTGGTTTAGGTGTTTGGGTTTAAAGTCGGTCTTTAGCTGCTTCTTGAGATGCCCAAGCAAGCTGAAATACAGTTGATGCAATAAATCCTGCATAGCACTAAGTACACTAAATCCTGGGAATTATGATATTCCAGTATACCAAGCTCACGCAAGGCTTTTCGTATCAAGAGCAGCTTTCAAAAAAGGTCCAGGTACAACGCCCAGCGCGCCGAACTGACACGCCATGTGGAGCGGCGTTGATGAGTCGCCTAGGGGGAACAGGGAATTAAGGGTCTAGGGTATAGGGTTTAGGGGATTTGTCTAGCCCAAACAAAGCATGGGTACCATTACAGGGGGTTACAGACGGATGTAAATAGAGTATAAAGGGCTGGCTAGAAGAATACGATGTTTTTTTTTGGGGGGGGGGGAACGGAGGATTCTGGCTAATGCAGGGGCCTCAGTCAGTACTTACCCCCTACCTAGGATAATAATGAATGAAGAACCAAATGGAAAAGAACATGGAAACTTAAACGGACGCTTGTTCTTGTACGGGTTTAGGGGGATGGTCTTGAAGAGATACGAATATCATGTTCGCCGGAAATTGTTTGGGCGGCTACGGCACCCGGACCTCCAAAATAAAATGAGGAACCCATGACAAACATGGTTCCACGGGTTTAGGGTTAAGGGTTTAGGGGTCCTTGCTGTAGGGGTTGCGGTTATCAAAAGTCTTTTACTAGGGAAGAAGTGGCCATTGCAGAATTTAGGAGGAACTGTGAAAAGAAGATAGAGGAGCTCCGAGGTAATTTTCATACACTTACGCCTAGCTTTATTGCTAGGACCTCTGACCACCCTAAACCCGTAGGATCTTCAAGAACAAATATTTGCAGCAGGATTTTTACCTTTGGTCCCTCAGCTTGGACACCAAAAACATACACGCACCAATATTCCCAAGTAACCCTATGTACACTCAAAAGACATTATGATTCACAATCTTCCTATATCCCTATAAACCTTTCACAATCCCAGCATCCATTTCATCTGGTGTTTCTTGTCCATTTGATTCCCATTGGTGTTGTACAATCCCTTCGCATATTATACACCCTGTATCCTGGTTTATCCCCGTTTCACAAAAGGTAGGATGGGGGACGAGACGCTTGTGCGCGTGGCGTCTTTGTCAGCTCGGGCCTCTAGAAGACATCCTCAGGATAAGGGTTTAAGGGCTTAGGGCTTAGGATTCAGGTTTCAGAGATTATTTAGGGTTTAGCATTTACGGAGATTAGGAGTTAATCCTTAGGATGTTGGAGTTTGGAATTTAGGGTTGAGGGTTTGGAGGTTAGGGTTCATGTCTTAGGTTTGGGGATTGGAGCTTATTTGAGCTACAGTCTAAACTCCTAGCATCCCCCTTAATAACCCTATAGCAGTCCCATATATAATTTTCTCTAAAACCCGCCTTCAAGGACTTTAGACCATGGCTCATTTAAATTTGGGTTTAAGATGCGGGGTTTGGAACTTAGGCCTTGCAAGTTAACCATTTGAATAATGTTTTTTTGGGTGGTTGAACCTAGTAAGAGTATATTCCTTATATAAAATACTATACCCCAAAAGGAAGATATAATCTTACTCTATATTGGGTACCAAAGTATCCCCAAATAAAATACTACTCCTTTGTCCC